TGCCGTCACTTGCCCCATGATTCTCTTCAGTGACAGAGGAGATTTTGAGTAAGGAGACCCAAAAAGCCAATCTCACACAGATCTGAGGATAACAGGCTTTTGAGAATCCTACTCCTGCCTGCTCCAACTGAGACAAATGCAGGTAAAACACTCCATAAAGTTTTCATGAAAAACTTCTGAAATTGATCACAAAATACTGTCCCTCATATTACAGCAAAGTCCTTGATAATACATAGGTAATTTTACCTTAAACATAAAATAGACTAGCCACCGAATCTTAAAACAAGTTGTAGAAAAGACACTAAATGAATAGCAGAGTCAGTATAGCTCATTCTGATGCAGAGTAGTCTGGGGAAGTAATATAACATCCAGATAAATGTTGTCCAACAGAAATATAATGACAGCGACGTGTAATTTTAAATTTTCTAGTAACCACATTAAAATAGTAAAATAACTGGTGAAATTAAATTTAATAATACATTTTATTTAACCAAATATATCCGAAATATTATTCAACATGTAATTAATATAAAAATACAATGAGATTTTTATTTACTGAGTCTTCAAAATCTGGTTTGTGTTTTACATTCACAGCACATTTCAATTTAGATACTAAATTTTCAATGGCTAAAGTGAAATTTAATTCTATCAAAACAGTAATGTTGTGTTTAACAGAAAAATGTTTTATACTGGCTTCAGTTTAAAAATTAAATTCAAAATTAAATCCCTCAGTCACACTAGCCACATTTGAAGTGCTCAACAGCTACATGTGACTAACAACTATCATATCAGTGAAGATCTAGATTATTTGAAGCAAGGTGAGGAGGCTTCTGATAATTTAAAGGGAAGTTAGAGGATCAGAACTTTATAGATAGTTCTGAGCATGCCTCAGGGAACCAAGAAAGAGGAAGTGACCCTCTGCTGTCTTCTAGAAAGTGGATAAACCACAATACAGATATCTTATGTAGGGATAACTATGATTAATCAATTTTCATTTAACTAAACATGCCAGCTTTATACACTTATTCCAGAAAAGGACCCTGTTCACTATTTCCCTCATTATATTAGAAAAAATGTGATTATAGTCCCTAAAGAAACCTGAGTCATCATTCCTGATTTCTCTTTATGATTTCATATATATATAATATAGTACACATATATATATATATATTCTCAGTGAAGCACTAAGTAATATTCTCTCCTTAATTTGAAAGTATCTCCAATATCTGCTTTGTCTTTTCCATTCCCACTGACACAACTCTAGTCCAGGGTTCATGCTTCATCAGAGGAACCTGGATTGCTAAACAGCTTTCTCGATGATTTACCTATTCCAGGATCTCCCATCTAATCCACATGTACACCTCCATTACATTAACTTTTCCAGAATGAGTGTATAAAGATGGTGTGTTTAAACAACATTTTCATGATCTGACTCCTCTATTGAAACATGATCACTGGTTCTCATGTGTGCTTAGAATAAATTTCTCATTATCCTTACTGTTCTTGCACCTCTCAGTCATTTTGGTAACAAATTAATAGTTTTCTGTTATTGTTCTCCAATTGTATATTATATATATTTACATCTCTTCCCATCGACTGTGATCTCCTTAAAGATCTGGGTTGCACAGTCTTCTTCTCATAAAACCCCCAATACACTATGCTGCATTTTGCTGAATGATTCTCAGGAAATATTTGTTAATTTGAAACAAACATAGTGGAATCTCTAGCTAACAAACTGCCTTCTCATATTTCCTAGATAAGATCATGAAGATTTTAGGTCACAGAGAAAAATAAACCTCAAGAGCTTTCCATGTTTTGCTCCTACTACTCAAGCTTTTTATTTATGTTAATTATGCTAATTGGTAAAAATGCCAAGGCTAATATATTTTAAACTCATGACCAATGTGATTAATAGAGCCCCTAGAAGCAGACTTCTTTTTAAGGCATTGCTACTGTGTTTTCAGCTGGTAAGATTTTTTAATGAACTAGTGACTGAGGAGAAGCAGCAAGGAAACAGAATGAAATTAAACCATGTACCATTATTTAAAAGGAAAGATAGCAACTTTTTGTCACCACCAACAGAAATTAAACTTCTTACCTTCAGTATAAAGTTGTTCTCCACCACTGTGCTAGAAAATGGTGTTGAAAGAAAAATCATTTAAACGAGTTTGCTCAACGAAACTGTGAGCTCATGGGGTAACTTTGAAAATAGTGATATTTGTCCTTTGAAAATTCCAGGAATGTATAGAAAACTATATAGTTTATGATTTTTTTTTTATTGGGAGGAAGTTGGTTTAAGGGATTAAATAAATGAAGTCACAAGTATTAAATTCTCTTCATATTTAAATAATTTATTTGATGTTTGAGACTTTTGTGTTCATCGCTTATCCTTGACATACTTATCTGTAAGACATGAAAAATAGTGTCTATTTAAAAGGCCTCAATGAATGACAATATAATTTTGAAATGCACTTTTTGAGTACAAGTATTTCCAAAGAGGAGAGGGAAAACTGCTGAATGGGTAGACACAATGAAATTCCGAGCATTTCTCGGATTTACAGATATGTATCTATTTTTTGCTTTTTCACTAAATGAATACAACCACTTAAAAATATGTGTGTGTCAGTGTGTGTATGTATACCTGCACACACACACCATGCAAAAACATTTCAAAGTGGAAAAATTTAAGTGCATTGCCAAAGTTCTACAATAACTGTCATCCACAGACTTCCACATGCAAACACTATTAGACTAGTACTTGTTAGAGCAAATAAGAGAATATTAGCAGAATTACTTGACAAAACTTTTTTAAAAATGTTAATAAAGAAACAGAATCCACTTCTCATCTGAACAGTATATAAAATAATCTCTACCATCTGAGTTATATATACATACAGTATCATGTAAGCTCAGAAAATAACTTCTTAGTGTACACACAGACCTGTAGTGCACACTCAGTAAATGTTATCATTGGAAGAAAATAGGCCATGAAGAGAATGGCTGAGGGGCAGTGTGGCATGAAAGAGAACTCTCCATTAAATATAAAAACAAAAAGTATGGCAAGGATTGGAATGCACATGCAAAGGAGTAGAGGTAACAGAAACCAATTAAAGTGAAACAGCAACAACCGGTAGATATGAAATAGGAATGGACCATGAAAGTTGGATGAGCGGAATGGGAGAGGTGAAAAGAATTTTTCCTCCTTGCTTTAAGCTATATATATAGAATTGTCAGTCACAACCCAAAGCCCAGCTGGAATGTGAATTGGCTAAACTGTAATATGAGTCATAGAACAGACTATTCCAAAACTACCACACAGGGTTATTCTGAACCACAAATGAGATACTAGTTAAGATGCTCCACAAACTATAAAATGCTACACTCATGTATGACAGAAATTATTTACACAATATTCAAACTGTCTTTCCTTCCAACTCTGGAAAGTGCAAAGAATGAGCTCTCCAGAGCACAGAGAGGAGGAAACCTACTCTGCTCCATTATCAAAGACTTTCATGGAAAATCAGGCTCCACGGTCACAGTGAAACCTGACTTTGAAGGAGAGCTAAGATGGTGACAATCTCATCAAATAGAGAGGTATGCAGAAGTACATATGGGCAATGTCGGCCCTCCTGGTATTTCCCCACAGCAATTTTTTTTGGGAGAAATTATTCACTGGAGAGAAAAAAAGAGATCCACTTTCTTGTTTACAGATGAATAGGATTAAATGATCCTAATTTCTCCCTTAGAGCAGGAAGAACTAAGAGTGTAAAAAGATGCTACAAGTTCATCAAAACATGACAAAACACATATTTTCCCTTACATATGAAAAACTGAAAAAGAAGAAAAGTTTAAGGTGTGGTAGGTATGTGTGTGCACTGCTATGAGCATTTCACAGCTAGAAAACTGAGGTGTAGTGAAACTAATTTATTCAAAGGTCACTTATCCAAAACCACAGAGCTCAAATTTGCCCATAGGTCTGTTTCATGTGTAAGTCCTGGCTGGCATTTTCTACAATACCACCACAGCCTCCCATCATCAAAAGACACCAGGAAGAAAAACAGTGAAAACAGCAAAGACATTTCTTTAGATTTTTTTTTCTTGTTAGCTCTACTACTACTTAAGAAAATATTTTGGCATCGAATAGTATTTCCATTAAACTTTAATAAATACCTTAAACAGCATTTCCTCCTCCCCTGATGATTAGTAACTCTATAGGGACAATTCATCACATCAGAAGCACAGGTAATCATGAATCATCATCAGCTGCTAATATCAAAAAGAGAGAAAACCAGACATTATGTGCAACCTAATAGAAGAACACAACACCACCTATGAAATATTCTTTCCCCCAACAATCCTATTTCAATTTTATCAGGACTCTAGATCCAACTACCAATTTGAGGAAATGGAGGGTAGAGGAACTTACACACTACCACAAGGATATAATCAGCAAAACTTGGACAGTGACATATACTACAAGAGAAACAAACTCATTTCTTCAACAAATAAAATTTTAAGGAAAAAAAGACATAAAGGGGGAACGCATAGATTAAAACACTTAAGACATTTATAGGAATCATGATAATCAAAATTATTAAAACAAATGGCATTTAGGAGACAATTAGAAATTTGAACCCTGACTGGATTTACTGATATTAAGGAAGTACTGTTAACTTTAAATGTGATAATATAATTGTAGTGGTATTTCAAAAGAGCCCATACCTTTTAGAGATATATATTGAATATCTATGAATGTATAATGATGTGATGCCTGCTATTTGTTTCAAAATAATACTGGAGGAGGGGGAGTAAGTGGGATGTAGCTAAAAAAGACTATTCATGAATTGATAATTGTTGAAGCTGGGTGCAGAGTATATTTGAAATACCTGTAGGGAAAAAAAAAAAACACATGCTACATCATCAGTGAAAAGTCTCCTAATTATTTTCCAGGAAAGAACCATATTATCATGGAATCACAGAGCTGAAAAGCACATTATAAACAATCTATGCAAACCCCCTCATTTTATAAATAAGGAAATTAAGGCTCAGATGGCTTAAGTGACTTGCTCAAGGTCACAAAACTTGTCAGTTCCAGACTCAAGATCAGAATTTAAATCTCCAACTTGTAGTCCAGGGAATCTATTCTTTTGCAAACCAGTAAGAAATGACTGCACTTAAACATTTTGTCCAGAATATCCTCAAAACTGAGTGTAACAGAAGTAAGCCATGGGACGATGAATGACTATAGTTCATACCAAAAATGCGCTGCCAGTCACTGTGGTAAGATCTGTTTCTTTCTGAGAACTATGGTTTCCTGCTGGACTGGAGAACCCAAACGGGGTTTCTTCCTCCCGTTCAAAGAAGTCAGAGTCAGGATGTACGTTCCATTCCACTTTGGTTGGCGTCAGTAGTGCTGAGACACTGTTGTCACAAAGGGCGCTTGAAGGAGTCAGAGCATCTGTGTCCACTGTTAACTTATTGCTGGGGGTCAGAGCTTGGGGCTCTTGACTCGAGTTCTTTATAGGCAAAGAGCCCAGTGGCCCTGCACTTACACTTGGGACATCATCCATATCTAAGGTGCTCTGCTGAAAACCTGTGGCCGTTGTTCCAAAAAAGAGAGAGGTATCCAGACTTTGAGGAAGATCACTGGTGGCCATCGAGGCCCGACGGTCCATAGCCTGCCCTAAGGAATTATTATTAGGAGGGAGGTTCCCTGCCAGAGTTGAACTCACAGAAGCCACATCAATAGTCAAGATTCCAGAGTTCACCAAGGCCGTGTCCAGCATTGCAGCAGAACTACTGCCAGGCACATCAGAAAAGAGAGGTACTAGGTCTGCATCACTGACATCGCCCTGTCCCTGGCTGATAAGTTCACTGCTGGGTGTAAGAGAATTCGAAGCTTCCAGCTGAGCTAAGAGGTCCTGGCCGAGGTTGTGCCTTTTGGCCATGTGGGTCTTCATACTGTGCTTGGATGTGAAAAGTTTATTACAAGTGGAGACTGGGCAACGGCTTTTCCAGGTGTCCACATCCTGCAGGTGTTTCTTGGAGTGAATGTATAGACTACTGCGAGCGGAGAACCTGGCACAGCAGCCTTCCACGGGGCACACAAAAGGCTTTGTGCCCAAGTGGGTTATGCTGTGACCTTTCAGATGCTCGGCCCTGGTGAAAGATTTCCCACACCCTTCCACAGGGCACGTGAACCTCCGGTCATCCTCGTGTTTCCTTTTGTGCCTTAAGAGTTTGGACATGCTGGTGAAGTTCCAGCCACAGCCATCAAAGTCACAAAGGAAAGGTCTCTCGCCCGTGTGGCTCCGAAGGTGAATTTTCAGCCTACAGGCCTTGTCATACTGTTTGCTGCAGCCAGGAAAGGAGCAGGAAAAGAGTTCCTGCTCCCTGAAATGGGCGCGGTTATGGGAAAACAGGGCACTCACTGTGATAAACGTCTTCTTGCAACCGGAAAACGCGCACTGGTAGGGCCTCTCTGGCTCAAAGTGGCTGCGCTGGTGGACGCTCAGCTTGGCCTGCGTGGGGAAACTCTCCTCGCACACCTCGCACTTGAATGAGTTCTCCTGCTCGTGGCCTTTCATATGCGCCTTGAGGTTGTACACGGTGGTGAAGCTCTTGCCACAGCCCTCCGCCGGGCAGCCAAAGGGCCGCAGTTTGTCGTGCGACTGCAGGTGCCGCTTGAGCTTGTACGAAGTGGTGAAGGTCCAGCCGCAGCCGCCCAGGGGACACTTGAAGGGCCTCTGGCCCTGGCTGCTGCTGTGCGTCAGCAGGTGCACCTTCAGCTGGTGCTTCTTGGCGAAGGTCTGCCCGCACTGCGCCTCTGGGCACACGTACAGCACCATGCTTGAGCCTGGGCCCAGTGATCCGCGGGGACCTTCGGCGGCGGCCAGGCTCTCCGCCCCCTCCTCGGGCGCCGGAGCAGGCGCGGGCTCAGGCGGCTCGGCCAGCAAGAGGTCGGGCGGCAGCTCGGGGCAGTCGCCGGGCTGAGTGGCGTGTGGCTCCCCCGGCTGGGGGATGATCAGACCCCCGACCTGCGGGGCAGGCGCGACCCCGGGCTCCCAGGCGGGCGGCGGGGGCGTGGCCAGGGTGAGGACCCCGTTCTCAAAGCGCCACAGCAGGTCTTGGTTGTGGATGGTGACCGTGCCAGCGAAGGCCGCGGCGGGGCCCGGGCTTGGGGGGCGGATCGGGGCCGGGGCCGGGGCGGGGCTCGCGGACGGGCAGCAGGGGCCCAGCTCAGGGCGGCCCGCGGGGTTCGCGCCGCTCTCGCGCCCCTGGAGTCCCGGGCCTGGCGCGGCCTCCTCCCTCCACACGGGCCCTGTGGCCTGGCCGGCGCCCGCAGTCTCCACGTGGCCACCCACCGGGTCCAGCAGCAGAAGGAAGAAGTCGTCGCCGCCGCCAGCGTGATCGGGCCTCGGCGCCAGCAGGCTCGGGCCCGGGCCCGGTGAGGCTGCGCGAGTCGGCTTGCGCCGCCGCCCGGGCCCGCCATCTTGGGGGCCC